CTCGAGGCGACCTCCCACCTTTAGCAATTGATAACCGAATACATTGTCCAGGAAGGGATTTAGATGCTTTAATGTACCTTCGGCTGGGTTCCCTCGTTGTAGGCGTTGTATATCAATTTCGAAGAATTGCTGTTGGATGACCCAAATAATACAGTGCAATGCCTTTTGTAGCTGAATAGGTTGGAGGGTACATTCTCCGTTCTTCAATTTATTCTTGGTTACATGATAAAAACGCTGTACCTGCGCTATTACTCGTAGCATCTTAGTGTATGAACTATATCTTGACAATACCTGTAATACGTAGTTGTCTTCATTTGTGTTAACGAATACAACCTTTCGCGTCTCTTTATTGACTTCTTCCATATCCAGGTTGTGACATTTCAAATGCGGCCAGTATTTATCAGCGAGTAACAAAAATTCCGGCCCCGTAAACCAACAAGACTCTGATAATTGGCGGATGTTACAGCCGCGCGACACAACATCTGCCGGGTTGGATTGGGTAGGAACGTGTCTCCATTGCCCATTTGCGGTAATATCTTGAATTTCCGCTACTCGATTGCCAACGAATGCAGACAGGGTTGATGAGTGCTGCTTCAACCAATGTAATACAATCTGTGAATCAGTCCAAAAAAACGTTTCACCCTTAAATTGCGCAAATATTGGTTGGACCTTCTGATACAGTTTGGCAAGAAGTAAGGCACCACAGAGTTCTAGTTTAGGTAGCGACTTCCGCTTTATAGGTGCCACACGGGATTTTGCAGTGAATAGCCTGACCGTCACCTTACCTGATGTGTTTTGTGATCGGAGAAATATACAGCAACCATATGCGCGTATTGAAGCGTCACAGAAACCGTGTACATCAACCTGTTGATAGTTTATGGATAGGCAGTATCTCGGCACCTTAACCGATGAAAGCGTTGTAAGATCTTGAATAAATGTTTTCCAAGCTGAGTGAAGATTTTGAGGGATTGACTCGTCCCAGTCCACACGCAAAAGCCACAATTCTTGCATCATAATTTTGGCTACGAGTATGATCGGTGCTAGTAATCCAAGCGGGTCGAATAATGAAGACGCAAGGGATAAGATGGTGCGTTTTGTTACAATATGACCTGGTTGTGCATTGAACGAAAATAGGAAAACATCTTGCATTTGGTGCCACTTGATGCCTAGAGCGCTGGTGACTGTATCTGTATCAAGATTCAAACTCTTTGTTGTAGTATCGCTGATGAAGTCATGATGGTTTGAATGCCATTTGTCAAGATCGAAGCAACCCTTCTGTAGAATGGCCGTTAACTGATGTCTGATATTGGTGAGTTGATCAATGGAATCTGCTCCACCTAAGAAGTCGTCGACAAAGAACGATGATTTAATGAGTGCAGCGCCTATTGGGTATTGTGTTTCAAATTTGTCCGCCAAATACTGCAAACTCCTGGTTGCTAGGAAAGGTGCTGATGCAGTACCATAAGTGACTGTATTCAACTCGTAAGTACTAACAGGATCGGACTCCGTATCTCGCCAAAAAATATATTGGAATTTTCGATCTGGTTCATCTATCAGTATCTGTCGGTACATCTTAACAATGTCAGCCGTCAAGGCATATCGGTGCAAACGAAATTGAAGTAGCAACAAATATAACTCCGACTGAATTGTCGGGCCGACCAGTAGAATATCATTTAATGAACGTTGCGAAGTTGTTGGACATGACGCATCAAAAACCACCCTCAGCTTGGTCGAAGTGCTCGACGGTTTTAAAACACAATGATGAGGGATATAATAATGAGGTTCGTTGGTTTTCGGAGTCTCAACACGCGTCATGTGTCCGAGCTCTCGATATTGTTTCATGAATTCTTGATAGTCTTGCTTCAGTGCACGATTAGATGACAATCGCCGTTCTACAGAATAAAAACGGCGCAAGGCGGTATTGTGTGTCAAACCAAGACAATCTGGTGAATCTTTGAATGGTAACCGAACGACAATTCTTCCCATCGCATTTTGGTGAACCGTTTCACGATATAATGACTCACACGCAACATGTGCTGGTGACCATGACTTTGAAGCCGATTGCACTTCCTCTATCTTCCACATCATTTCTAATTGATCGGAGACTGTATCTTCAACTGATAATAGGCATTTTGCTGCTGGTGATGCAAATGGCTGACCCTTGTACTTGCCAGATACAATCCATCCTAATAGTGTTTTTTGAAGTACTGGAAAATTTTCACCTAGTTTGATTTGACCGACAGACAAAATATCAAAGAAACTTTCAGCTCCAAGCAAGAGATCAACGCGCTTGGATTTAAAGAATTGCTCATCGGCGAGAGGTGTATTTGGTGGAACCTTCCACGACGATATATCGATTTCAGAACTTGGTTGATATGCGATGTGATTCGTAATACCAAAGTTTAAAGCAAGTTCAAGATTTGAATGACGAGATTTGATTGATGTGAGCGTCTGATACTTTATGTTGGTCAACGAACTACCAATACTGGAAACATGCAACCGATGTTTATGTTTTGCTAAACTAAGCTTCTTTGAAAACTCCTCCGTTATGAAGTTGACCTGAGAGCATGAATCAAGCAAGTCTCTACCCACTTGATAACTTCCCGATGAATCCTTCACTAAAACCAATGCAGTAGCTAGAATTATTTGCTCGGCCGATGACATATTAAGATGGGAATGGCTGGCAACGTTGTCGTTGGGCATAGCAGCGTGTTCTGTGCGTCGTGATGATCCCGCTCTCTTAATATTCGTTGGCAATTGCGAATGATGCAAGAGAGTGTGATGTGGCTTTGCGCAAACCTTACATTTAAACGTTGATGTGCAATTAACCACATGATGGCGTGGCGATAAGCAGTTTATGCAGAGTTTTAGGCTCTTCACCTTTTCAAACCTTTGAACCACCTCCAGTGCCTTAAAACGATGACAATTCTGTATTAGGTGTTCATTGCTAGAACAAAATGAGCAAGAATTGCTGGATGTAGATGCAACAAATGCGTATTGTTTTGAGCGTCTGTTACTCTTGGAGTTAAGATTATTAGGTTTACGTTGTGATGATGACTGATTGCCGTTTCCACTGTCGAGTGATTCGAGAAACTGGCAATGCCTATCCAATAATTTTGAGCAATCTTCCCAACTGGGTAATGTGTCGAAGTTACGCGATTCATTCCATTTCCTGCGTGTAATTGCGTCCGTTTTTTGCATGATTAGCGAGATAAGTAGAGCCTCACATATTTGTTTCTCTGTACCTAGCGAACAGAGTGAACCATACAAAGCGGATGCATTGTTTACCAGACTACGAAGTTGTTGGCTTGACTGACCCGATACTGCTGGTAGATCAAATAGTGTCGCGATATTTTCGGCGAAGATTAGGCTATTATTGTCATAGCGCGATTTAAGCCTATCCAGAGCCTTTGGATAGTTTTCATTCGAAATAGGAAATGCCTGTACTGTCTCTAGAGCTTGACCAGTAAGGCAGTTCAGTAAGTGATTAAATTTTTCAATATTTGTGAGGTATATTTCGCGATCTATGATTTGGAGAAACGAATTAATAAAATTGTTATAATCCGAGTACTTACCACTGAATGTAGGTAATTTTAACAGTGGTAATTTTTTACTTGAGGTGGGCATCATTGCTGTTACGTCTAGCACTGATGCATTGTGGGCCTCTTCCTGCAGTTGAGACATGATTAATATTTTGGTGGAAACGTATAGGTCTTCTAATTCATCTCTAGCTGAGTCAGTTGCATCTAATTTCTCGATCAACGTCTGAAAAGCTAAGATTTGTTTAAAATATGATTCTAAAATACCTAGTCGACATTTCAGTTCTGGTTGTGAGAGCGAATTACTCTTTCCTTTGACGAACGCCTTGATTCTTGAAATACTCGCTTTCGTCGAGGCTCGCTGTTGTTTTAGTTCTGACAGTTCTGCCGTAGTGGTTGGCTCTGCCGTTGCCATTGAAACAGTTGTAGATATTTGAGAACAGCAAAGGATTTGACGAAGTCGAAAAGTCACAATAGCAACAGTGAGCTTTCCGAAATTGAACTGCTCTTACGGTGGTTGTTGTCAGACGCGACGTTGACGAACCCGCACACTTACTGATTGGAAGCAAATATTAACCAGTAATCAACAAGTAAGTTAACTTGTTGTTGTTGTTGTAATTGTTCAGCGTGACCTTGATGCGGACACGAGGTTCTATTTGGCGCTTAGCAGAACCTAAGCCGAGAACCATAGAATGCACAATAGTACACACGTACGATAGTATATAGTATATATGTACAGATGTACGATATTATTAAAGTTAGCACACTTTAGATATATAACCGTTTAGGAGCAATACTCACACGAGCACATTATGGTTACAAATTAACCAAATACAATAAAAGCGAAAGTATGTACAATCAACAAGTAAAGATAGCTTGTTGTTGTTATTTTAACTGTCGAGCACGACCTTGATGCGGACACGAGATTCTATTTTGAGGTTAGCGGACCTAAACCGAGAACCACCAATTGCACAAGAGTATATACGTACGATAGTACATATGTAATATATATATAGATGTACGATATATTATAATGGTTAGCACACGTTAGCTATATAGCTGGTTAGAAAAAGTATTCACACGCGCACATTAATGGTTACAATTATCCAAAAACAATAAAAGCGAAAGTATGTACAATCAACAAGTAAAGATAGCTTGTTGTTGTTATTTTAAATGTCGAGCACGACCTTGATGCGGACACGAGGTTCTGATTTGAGGTTAGCGGACCTAAACCGAGAACCACCAATTGCACAAGAGTATATACGTACGATAGTACATAGGTAATATATATATAGATGTACGATATATTATAATGGTTAGCACGCGTTAGCTATATAACTGGTTAGAAGAAATATTCACACGCGCACTTTAATGGTTACAAATTAACCAAAAACAATAAAAGCGAAAGTATGTACAATCAACAAGTAAAGGTATCTTGTTGTTGTAATGTCGAGCGCGATCTTGATGCGGACACGAGGTTCTGTTTTGAGGTTAGCGGACCTAAACCGAGAACCACCAATTGGACAATAGTATATACGTACGATAATTCATATGTAGTATATATATAGATGTACGATATATTATAATAGTTAGCACGCGTTAGCTATATAACTGGTTAGAAGAAATATTCACACGCGCACTTTAATGGTTACAAATTAACCAAAAACAATAAAAGCGAAAGTATGTACAATCAACAAGTAAAGGTATCTTGTTGTTGTAATGTCGAGCGCGATCTTGATGCGGACACGAGGTTCTGTTTTGAGGTTAGCGGACCTAAACCGAGAACCACCAATTGCACAATAGTATATACGTTCGACAGTCCACAGAATAGCCGTGTGGAAGAAATGCACACACGCGTACACTAATGATTACAAACTTAATAAGAAAAAATGATTACCACACGTGGGTAATATTTAGATTTTTTAACAAATTGGAGATTAATAACCACTATTAAAATTGCAAAAAGTCCTGTCACGGTCGCCAATGTAAATTATAAGCGTTTTTATAATTGGGTTTTATGATCTTTATTTCAATTTCTTTAACACAATGTAAATTATAAACGTTTTTATAATTGAGTTTTGATTTCATTTAATTTATACAATTGAATTTATACAATTTCGGTTATTGATTGTTTAATCACTTTTTTATGTGTACCCGTGTGTTGACACGTTCGCGATCGAAAAACAAGAGACAGAATCAAACCAACGGAGTTTACTTGCAGCCCAAAAAATATAACAATAAAATTTGCTCATCTCGAGCGCAAAAAACAAAAGGCAATAAAACAAGACTTAGAACCGTTGGTTTGATTACATCTTATACAGGGTTAGTTAGATAAATTAATTAACCATATATTAACCATATAAAATATTATATATATATATGAATTATATAATATATTAATTATAATAATTTAATTATACAATATGATTTACAATAGATTAAAATATAATAAATTATAATATAAATCATATAACACATCAATTAATAATTCTACAGAATCCTACAATATTAACAATTTGACTTTAACCGCTCTAACAATATATATTATTATTATCCATTACATATTCAATTAATAAAAACATACATTTTATTAAATATTCATTTTATCCGTACGTTGGTACTGTGGTAAACACATTAAAAATACATTAAATTTCGATAATTTCCCTTGTGGGAAATTTATTTTTAAGGGTTGCATTCTTTGTCTAAGTTTCCTTACTTATTTCTAAGTAAGTTAAAAAGCATGACATCTCTTTGTATGGTGATTGAAATTTACTTAGTAAGTAACCAGTGGAAACGTACTATTACTCATACAAGATTCTTTTATAATATGTTGATCTGATGTTTATTTTTAAATAATTCCGTTTTTTGTAGTAAGTTGGTACTAATGTAATATATTATGATGCTTACTTTAACAATGATGTGTCGATTAATGTAGTTATATCAGTCGATTTTGTTGGTTTACTTGAAATACATTCTGCTAATTTTGCTATTGAGAATTCATTGAAACAAAGAATTTGCATTAATTTTTGTGCTGCAAATGGAATTTCCTGTGTTGAGTCACTGATATTGTTGAATAAGACTAATGATGACTCTGTTTTATAAAAAAACATAAGTGCACGAGTTCACAAAATATTTAAAGATGGTACAATAACTCTTGTTATTTTCAAATTAGTATTTGAACATCTTAGCTTCTGCTTGAAAGAATCAGAAAGGAAACTAAATATGTTTCACCAATCAGTTCATCAAATTTCAGTTGACTTTTCTGAATTTTATTGCAAAAACAGTATCGGAATACATGACTAAAGAGATAGTAGTAAAGTAGTGATCTCACATTATCATAACCACTGTAAAGACATAGGTGTACGAATATGAGACACTAGGAAGTCACTAATCATCGGAATTGAGATCTAAAAACCATAGCATTTTCAATTCTTAGCAGAAGATCAAAGAGTTGTAAAACAAATATATTGATCTATATATATTGACTATGATCTATATATAATCTATATATTGAATACGCGAAAGATTGCAGCAGTTAATATATGGTTCCAACTCTGTATCTCGTTCTATATCGTTATAAGTTGAATATAAGCACCTCTAGTCTTATTGATTATGGAAGTAGCAACTTCCCTTGCTCCGCTTTTATTAGTTGTAATGGTTCTGAGGTGTGTTTTCGGTTCGTCATACTTGGCTTCCCAACAAATGGAAGAGAAAAATAAGTTTACAATTATTTAAACATTATAGACATAAAAATGTAGTGTTAAAAAATTAGAAAATATGAAATGGAAGTTATAATGTCATTTAAAATTATTTGCCCAACTACTAATATTGTAACATAAGTAAGTAAATTAGGTTAAGTTAAAGTGAAGCCTAGTAGACTTTAGTGAAATAAACACAAATAAAGACCAGTTGTGGCATTTTAGATAATCATTGTTCATACGCCAAAGAAGAGTGTCATCAAAACAAGTATAAAGATCGAAGTAATTAGCGTATGAACAACGTTGAAGAATCAAAGCAACGATTATTCAATGAGTGAAAGTGAACTAAATTTGGTTATGTCCCTAATTTTGGAGAAAGATAGCTTTATCGCATCTCCAACAAAGGAAAGGATTATCAAAGATTTTTAATGGACATAAAACCATTAGTTAAAAAATCGGAAGAAAGATTCCTCCTCTTCTGCAGAACCTAGATTCTGTGAATTAGGAAAGCAAAAAGTAAGTGAAGTATCAGTGATTAAAAAGATTAAAAAATTTTGAAATGGATAAGTTAACAACTCGGTTTGAAGATGTTAGTCTGATGTGTAAAAAAAAACAAAAAAAAAGGTTTAAAAAAGGAAGAAAACAAAGAATGATTAAGAAACGAGAACAATAGAATAATTAATAAAGGAAAAAAGAATGATAGAAAAAGGAAAAAGAAAAAAAAATGATAGAAAAAGGAAAAAGAAACAAAAAGAATGATAGAAAAAGGATAAAGACAAAAATAAAGACAAAAAAAGCAAAAAAAAAGAATGATAGAAAAAGGAAAAAAAAATAATAATAAAGTTGTTTTTTCGAACAGTAGTGAACTACAACAACAAAAATTCATTTTATATTATTTCAATTTTTGCCTGACCATACAACTGTTTCGAGTATTGCCAAATACCCCATCATCAGTGGTCTCGGAAATAATTCTTATATTTAATTATTCGTAAATAATCTTTTTTGTTTTTGAGACTGCAAGTATCAGGAATCGAACTCGGGTTCCGTACTTGATTTTTTATGTTCGCACATTTTTCTGGAGTTTTGTTAATTTGTTGTGAAAGTTTTATTAACAAATTTACTTGTTGTACTTGTTTTTTTATAAGAACGAAAAAAAAGAATGATAAAAATTGGAAAAAGAAAAAAAAGAATGACAGAAAAAGGAAAAAGAAAAAAAAATTATAGAAAAAGGGGGAAAAAAATAATAACAGTAAAAAAGACAAAAAAAATTAATAATTATAAAAAAGGGAAAAAATAAATAACAATAAAAACAAATAGAAAGGGAAATAACAAGCAAAAAGAAAATAAGGAAAAAAATAAAAGAAAAGAAAAAAAGGAAAAACAAATTTTTTTTTATATTTAACTAAAATACAATTTATAAAGCAACTAATTAAAATCTCTTTTTTCTATTTACTTTAGAGTATCCCTTAATGTTATTCTATTGATATTCATAAAGATATGTTAGGATTTGGCGGCGGCAAGTTTAGAATTATTTGTTGTTTATCAAACTTTGGCAAGGTTTCTGCTTAAAGCCTGTTCTGCGAACTTCATTAGGAAATTGTTCTAGAAATGTAATTGTTTTTGGCTTTTATAAAATATATTTGATTCAATACTATTTCTATTTACTGCTTCTTCTATCGCCTCTTGTACACTCTTGTATGCATTCAAAGTTTTGTAT